TGTTGCCATTTGTATGGTTAGTGAGAGCTCGAAAGTCCCTACAAGACCAACGCATTGTAATTAGACAATTGAAAACTGACCGTTGAAAGCAGATTCTTTTATTTCGTTGTTATCGCTTTTATAGCGTAGATCTCAGTTATTCCAAATGGTAACCTACGGAAAACGGAAAAAATCTCGCAACACCCAAAAGACTGGTCAATAACTAGTGCTTTAAAAATTTGTGTAATCGTTGTTCTTATCAAATGCTGAGTGTTCAACAAGTACAATCCTGTTCGACTGAATGATTCATAAGATGTAAAAATTTCATTTACAGAAGTGGAGGTTTTAGAAAGACAAATTGGCAGCTTTCATGTTTAAAATGCCTTTCGAAACTTTTAATATGATGCGTGAACCCAGTTATATTCATCACCAATAACATGTTTTTCTGTCATCGGTGGTCACGCACGGCCGAAAAAATCCATGGGTTTCTGCATTATGGAACTCTCAGAAAGTCATCTTATAAGAATTAGGACAGTAACAATAGGCAGTGTTGTGAATTATATATTGATAATTTATACGTACCATTCGGAATTCTATTATATCTAATGCGGAAAAATTAATCATTTTACAGTGGAAACGTTAATATGTCAACTTTAAAAAGCATAATTAGACAAGTTTTGAATTACTCAAACAAAGCTGATACATCTCTAATGACTTCTGTTGTGTTGATACATTAACAGTCGAAAAAGTAGCGAGAGAAAAAAATATCCTTCTCTGTTACAATTGAAACCTGATGGTTTGAATATATTCTGATTAATATTTCTTGTTATTTCTTGCATGCGATAATCACACATAAATATTTGTAGACCTCCCATACAGCGTGACTATTTTCTTTTTATGAATAATATGCTGTGGATCAACAAAAAGAAAAGATCATCATGTACACAATTGTATTAATTATGGTACACTCTTTTATTGTCCGCAGTAATCTCTTGTAACATGTGTGTTTTAAAAAGAAATTAAACTTCGTTAGGTAGAAGATGATCTAATTCATAAAGAGTAATATAACGTTTCTATCTAACTCTATACAAACAAAATTTTTTACGGAAGTTACGTTAACAATGCAACAAAGATAAATTGTTGCTGCCATAAATGTCTACCACGTCGAAGGCTAATTTTTGTATATGTACGTGACGAATTTTTGTGTATATTTAGTTAAACAAGAAGTATTAACATTGATTAAATATACACTCAATAAAGTTCTAAGTTTTTCTTAGGAAAAAGAGAGATCGTGTTCTCTCAATTTCTACTATTGTTATTTAATCGAATTATGTTATCATCAAAGTTTCATTTTCATATATTAAATTCTTCCTTTTTTAGTTGAGCAATATTTGTTATAAAAATATTCTTTTAATCTTCTTGGAAAGCGTCCGTAGAAGATTTGTAAATCATCAATATTATCACTCTTTAATATATGTATACTTTTGTAATAATACTCCTAATTTGGCAAATGACGGTCGATTATTTGGTACTTTCTCAAAACATGGTTTGATTATATTATTATAAAATGTTTCTGGACAGTTAGCTGGTCGGTCATGAATAATTCCATGTTTCACAGCATCTATAATCCACATTGCATGCTTTTCTGGATAAGGATCATCTCCTTTTAACCACATTTCAATTAAAACAACGCCAAAAGACCATATATCCGACTGAATACTGTATTTTGTTCGATCTTCTAATACTTCTGGAGCTGACCTAAACATATGAAAATTCTATTTAACATTTATTTCTAAATTAGAAAAATCTTAAAACTAAAGAACTAAGATAGATTGGCGATTATTCTTACCATCGAAATGGTAATTTTTGATCCCCTGCTCGTCTTCTCTCCACCTCGTCACCATTGATGATCGTTGATAAGCCAAAATCAGCTATTTTTATATTATTCTGTCTACCCAATAAAATATTTCGACAAGCAAGATCTCGATGAATATAGTTACAATGTTCCAAGTAGGTCATACCACGGATAATTTGTTTTGCATAATCGATTATTATGTGTTCACCAGGAAATATTTCCTGCATTTTCAACCAACTTTTCAAGTCACCATTTATCATAAATTCTGTTATCATTAGGGTTTCATTTGTTTTTGGATCTTTTGAAACGCCAAACAGTGATACAATATAATTATTTCGTAAATTTTTCATTGCTTGAATTTCTCGTGCAAATTCATTTGATGTATTCGAATCATGAAATTTTAACTTTTTTATAGCAACTTGAATAGTTTCACTATTTGTCTGTTTCCATTGGCCCGACCATACTTCTCCAAATTGACCGGTACCAATCATTTTAATTAATTTTAATTCATGATGTTCTATTTTCCATAACTCATCTTCACACTCGATAGTCGCACTAATTGGTTCGGAGAGCGGAATGCATCGAAGTACGTCAGGGTCGGTAACTAATTGATGAAACGATGTAAATTTTTTATGTTGTAAAGCAGTTTCTTGTTCAAAATAAAAATATCTATTTTTTGTATCAACACGTATCAAATAATGCCATACTAATACATTAAGACGTTCATGCGATTGACGAACACTTAGAACATATGCGTTTACAGTTCGATCGCTACGACGCACCATATAGGCATATGGAATGTTGTATTTTAATAGAGAAACCTCAGCAATACCTCTATCATTATTTACCAATCTTAGCGGAGTGGTTTCATCTAAGTTAACATAACTTTTGGGAATATAACCAGTATTTGATGAACGCAAATGTTTTACGTGAAGCCAAAGATCGTCTTTATCTTTAATCAATTCAAATTCATCACCTTCATCGAATGATATGTCTGTTGAATGAGAAGATTGATAAGGATAAACTGCAACGTAGATCGGCTTCATCAGCTGTAGTTTTCGATGAGTTTCTTGAAAATAAATAGAGACGTCAGAGTTCCTGCGATCATACCTTATTTTCTCGTCTCCGTGGTTCGGGTTTGGTTCAGGTTGATATCGATCGACGCTATCGGGCAGTGGGTTCGGGTTTTTATTTGATTCATTTGCTCGAAACAGAAAAGACCAACAGCCACCCATTTCAATTATCAATTAATCTACAAAAACAAGTTGAAAAAAATACTTTATACAGTATTTTATTACTATAAACATTTAAAATAGACATTCAAAATAGAGATTATGATATGTATTTATTATTAATTTCATAAACTAAATATCATACTTAATCATTAAAATTTGTTTTTCAATATTGATCTGTTTGATATTGATCAAAAGTAAGCTTATCGTACATATGAACATTCATCAAGGCTTAATCTTATATCACAAAACTCCTTAATTCGAATGCATTTTGTTTTTTTCTAACGAAATGTTTATTACCTTAGTCAATTAAAGATAAAAAAGAAAAGCATGACTTTACCTTTTTGTTTAAATCAATAAACATGCGTAAATTAACATCACAAATGATAATACTGGATATATCAAGTATATATGATAGAAAAAGTAACTAATAATGTAGATGGTAAAGTATAATCTAAAAATTCTAATTAAGAATTTTTAACTTGTACTGAATTTAAGGAATTCAGTCCCAATTAGGTATGTTACAAATCCAAACCCAAACCCAAGCGACTTGGGTGTATTGGGTTTGGGTACCCAAGTCTAAGACTTGGGTTTGGGTACCCAAGTCTAAGACTTGGGTTTGGGTACCCAAGTCTAAGACTTGGGTTTGGGTACCCAAGTCTAAGACTTGGGTTTGGGTACCCAAGTCTAAGACTTGGGTTTGGGTCAGTTGCCAAAGTACATTAATATTCTTCTTCAATGAAACTTAGCAGTAGTACCTTACGCTCTTCTGCCATACTATTCATTTATCTTTTTCTCTTC